AACAAGCCAAAAATACATAGGAGAGTTTGTTGTGGTGCCAAATAGGCGCCAGATGTGTCTGTGTCAAGGTGAATGTCATATTTCTGAAACGGTCACCTATTTCTCCCTGTTGGCAAAGTTTGAGAGAAAACTATAAATGCTTACACGGATTAGATTACTCTCTTTCTAATATGGTAACGCGGTACTTCCTGCTGACTGTAGCAGCTCACAACGTGCTTGAAAAGTTTCGAGTAACAATTTGGTCCCAAGTTTGTAATCAGCATTCCTTTGAATCGAATGACCCAGGTCTCCTTTTCAAAGTTCCATAGAAAATCAGAAAGTCTTTCCCGGTTGGAGGCAGGGCAATCCGTCCTCTGAGCATTTCCGGGGCTGCATAGATGATAGCGTCAAATTAATGTAGACTTCGGATCATGACTTTACAACACTAAGCGCAGTTTATAGCTCTGAGTATCAAGGGTGAAAACTGGACCCTTCACCCTATCGCGCTGTGTCGTAAGGAAAGTGAACGCAGTTCAGTTCAAACCGATCTTTGATGTTAATCTTCAGCACTAATATCTAGATCAAACTGGTGGTCCCAATTTGAGAAACACGAGAAGAGATGAGAGAGAGTAGGCGATGAACTATTGTTGGAAAACGCCGGGAGAAACGGGGAGTAGGTCAAGAGCTACTACGAGAAGCGACTGTGTTAACTCCGGTCATTACCTAGTTGCAGGCAATTTCTCTAGGGCAGGAGCCTCCACCAAATATCATGCGGGCGGGCCAACTTCTGCCTAATTCACTTAATAATTTATTTGTTTTTCACTTATTTATTAACTTATTTACTTCCTTATTTAACTCTTCCATACATTCTAAACTCCCCACTCTGTACATCGAAAACCACGCCACGGCTACGCGCGATGGCCCAGTGGAGCAAAACGGCTCCAAGAACTACCCTCCTTTTCAAAGGTGCGTGGCTGTCATTCCCCATGGGAACCACTTAGTTTTGACGTGAAGCTTTCAGAAAATCGCAAACTCACATTCCAAGGTGGGCACACGACAGTGGTGGTGGAGGACTCCACCACTTACCATTGCTCGTTTGGGCTCTACACTGAAGAGCTGAAGTATGAAGCTGGATGTAAGCCTTTTTTGAACCTTCCTTGGTTCAGCCCATTCCATATCTGATAGCTGTTTTTCAGTACGTTATACCGTATTGGTGCTGGATATTCTGATCTATGTCGGCATGATTCTCGCCTCGATTCTTCTGCTCATTGGTACGTTTGAAAGCGCTCTTTCTAGAGGTTGTAGCGCTTCTGGAACTCCCTTTTCAGGCCTGTCCATCTACAACCAATGGCTGTTGGTGCCATGGATCATCATTATGGGCATTGACATCATTCGTGGCTTAATCTCTGTGCTATTCATCTTCATTTACAGCTATGTGAGTGCCGTTTGTTCGCCTATAGACTGTGGTTGATTCATTGCACAGCATCAATCGTGCGGTTGGCCTTCGCACAATGATGGGGTGTGGTCTCAGGACAGAACCCGGTTTGTTCGCCTCCATTGCGATGCCATCACATCACATACTGACACTTTATTTCACCAAGAAATGTGTCCGCATTCCCCAGCAAATACGAATGGCCCCAGGCCGGACATCACCGGTCACCCCCAGGGCCATTAAAGGAAATGAGCAGGGGCAGAATTGCACGGCGACCCTTTTTTGGGCGCTCAGCTTCATTCCTTCAAAATTAAAACGCCTCAAATCTGGTCCTGAAACTGAATCGAGTTCATTTCTGAATCGAATCGATAGCTGTGATTTACGAAAGGTGGGTCAGCATCACGCTCAGCACAGCATTAGAACGGCAACCGGTTAGAGGGGTGCTATAGAGGCGTCGATATTCGCACTAGTGTCCGACATAGTGATTGGCGGCACCTAACTAGCAGATCATCATCTACTCTTTTTCCCCCTTTCGCCAGCACTTCAGGAATTTATGGCGCCCATGACGGACATCGCCTGCAGGATCCGAGTTTTTACTATGTTTCGCGATTGGAAACGGGGCGAAAAAACAGCCGTGTTGGGATGAATCTTATTAATCATCGCGATTTACTGCCTCTATCGGAGAGTCAAATAAAACTTCGAAAAATCTAGAACAGGGCGCGTTGGAAATTGACGAGCTGTCGACGATGGAATTCTACTGACATACTTCATCCCGGAAAAAAGCTCTATTCTTGATAAACATGACCCCGAATGTTGAGCATTAAAAACGATCTGTGTTTCGCGAGCGCATATGTCTATGTAGGTATAAAAAGATATAGGACGAGGGGACGGTCGTTAAACAACCCTTCCGGGAACGCCACAAACCCGCTTCCGTTTGGAATTGTGGACACATTTGAATGCGCTCCTCTTTTATGCACTAACTTGCGAATTCACCCTTTAGGCAGGTCGAAATTATTACCCTTCTGTGCAGAAATATTGCTAGCAAATCAACTCTAAAAAGGTGGAAGAGTCACCTCCCTTTCAAAAACGAGAAGAGCGTCGGGTGCAGACCATACACCACAAGTGACGACGGCCTCCAAGTAAATCTGGTTAGTAGTGGTTCATAGCTGATTTTTGGTAAATGATAGTTGTAATTAGTGACAACTGATAGAATACAACTGCAACAGGCTAATCATTTCATTGGCAGAAAACATTTACATTTTGTGGAGGCCGTCGTCACTTGTGGTGTATGGTCTGCACCCGACGCTCTTCTCGTTTTTGAACAGCAATACTTCACACAAGCGAATTAAAACGGCAACTGC